ATTTCACCGCTTCTCAACCTGGGCGCGTCTTTGATTTTGAGCTCATGGTTTCGCCATAACTTGGCCTTGTTACAAACTTCCACGGGGTCTCCTTATGCTTAAGCACTTGCTATCGAATAGATCACCTCAGGGTCGAGATTGCCGTTTGGCAATCGAAGACGCGACCGAACCTTGTGGCCATGTTCAGGCCGAGTGATTGCACTCTGACCCAGTCTGATAATCCCCCGACTTTGTGGTGCGCTCACATAATTCATCGATCGAATGACCCAGACCGCATAACCCGCGAGTGTGCGCTGTGCGATATTTATTTTCTATGCAGGCCACACGCTAACGAAAGAGAACAGAAGGAGGAATGGGCGGTAGTTTTTACTGTACTTTAGAGGCACTGAGAAAGGGAACTTAACAATAAAACAAGACACCAATTCCGTTTTAGGGGGGCAAGGGGGGGTGGGAGGGTTAGCTGTCCGGGTCGGTGATTTGCTGAGAACTTCGTCGCTAAGATGTCGTTGTAAAATATATATATATATATATATATATATATATATATATATATATATATATATATATATATATATTTTTTTTTTTTTTTTACGGTGTGTCTGTCATCAGAGCATGCTCTCAGTGACATGCTACTGGGTGCATGGACTTACGCTCCGGCATAAAACAGCATAAAGTGCGTAGGTTGCACACGCTGTCACTTCAAGTTTTTGTTTATTCATTCACCTTTACACTATAGCTATATTTTTCAAGTATCTGTGTAGAAACACCGGTAAATACGGCTATGTATGTAAAATAAAACGTTAAAATGCCAACCTAAAAAAAAAGGTTAATTGGTGCAGTATATAGGAAAAATCTGGAGGACGCTTGTTTAGCCGTCAAGGTTTGCACCGGTTGGAAAACTAAAGGCAGTTCGTAAAGTTCAAGCCAGGCTATCTTGGTTGACAAAAATAATCCCTGGAGAAGGGGAACAAGAGGGACAAGGGACAAACATAAATCTCCAAACACAGCTAGGTGACTGGTGAGCGACAGAAATTGCATTATAATTATACTATCTTGGTTCCTGCCATTAAATCAGGCGAGCTGGTTTAACACACATTTCAACCTTGGACCTCGGGGACAGACACAAACATGAAGCTTCCAGCACAGCTAAATTTGATTCCACAATCACAACACTAAATAGCAAAAAAAAAAAAAAATGCAAACGGACCGAATATTAGCCCGAAGGTCATCACCTCTTGTCCTGGTTTTGGTTTGACCTGCTCCTTTTTTGTCCCCCTGGTTTGAAGTGCCAAAAGCTTTGCGAGTGTTCTCCACGTCTGACGTTGAAGTCAATCTTCACACAGTTCGTGTTTTCTTTTTAGCTGAGCTATTTTTTTGTTTTTTGTGAATAACGCCCAATGTAAAGTGATCTTTTCTTTTTTTAGAAAAACGTAGTTGTTTTACGTGAAAGTTCTGATTTGAGAAATTTTAATTCTTCTCTGATGCTGATCAAGAGTCATAATTTTTATCCGTCAACATTCCTGTCAAATTATATTTATGCGGTTTATTTCACTGACCGTGCACTTATGCGCTTTCTTACGTTTTTTCGCGGGAGCTCTGTAGAGCTGTCGAAGCCGGCGCGCGCGCCTTCGATAGTTGCTTTGATGCGCGAGTGCGAGGAGGTAAAAAGAGGGTGCGCGGCGGAGGAGCAGAGAACAAATGTTACGTTTTATTTTATTCAGTGGCTTTATTGACGCTGGGACACTTACGCCATCTATGGACGCGAGTTTCAAATTGAATTTGAATGCAGCACTGGTAATTTGTTGTGCCTACGTTTGGGCGTTTCTTTATTGTTATTTTTTTTTTCAGACAACCAGACACCGGAATATGTTTGCTTCGGAAACAGGAAACGTATTGAACAAGCGATGGTAGGAGTTCGCGTCTTGCGTTCTCCCCACTGATCATGCCCTTCCACAATTTAGCCCAAATACCAAGTCGTTGAAGGGGTTGAATGTTACAACTTTCACACGAAGTCATATGATGGTTCTCATTCAATACATCATTATGTCTTATTAAAAAAAAGTTTTTTTTTAGCGATAACCGTTTTAAAGATATTTCGGATAACAAATGTGCCCGAGTACAAAAGAGCTGATGATGTTGACGTAGCTTTATTTCACTTTCCGTTAGCTGTGGCGTGGACGCGTCAATGACGGCTGCGCTTTTTGAGAATTGTAAACACCTGTTTTAAGCTATTTGGGCCTTTTAGAAAAAAGAAAACAACAACAATCTGTGGATCAGTATAGGTATATGCTTCACATGAAACGTAAAATTGCTCGGGTGACAACAATAATAATTATGTGAAGTTGTATATAGCAAGTACTTCTGATCCAATATTTTCGAACTTAGGTAGTCAGTGGTCAAGTAAACTTTATTTCTATCAAATCACAGCAGAAGTTGAGTTGTAAATCAGCGTCCTGGTTAGTATATCTGTGCGTATTTCCTCTGTTGCCTCTTTTCCCCGCTGTTTACGCCTATAACATGGGCTGCAGATTAGTCGAGTCGTTTCGACACATTTCTACACAGTCTATGTTGACTTTTGTTTAAAACGTTTATTGACTCGAGGATACATAAATAGTGATCATGGGCTAAAGCAACTTGCAACACGCGCTTATTATGGAAAGTCGGTAATAACCAGCGTCTAATTTGTCACCCAATTGAAATACTGGTCCCGCTGTAGCCGTTAACCAATCTTTTGTGTGAAGCATTGAAGAGAATGAAAGGTACTCGGAAATCATCCCAGTGTAGAGACGGAAAATATGATTGGGCAAACCATCAGCATGCGCGATTTTGTCACCTTAATACAGCAGAGAAAATACACAGAAAATATACCCCACGACTTAACTACATCAGTCATTGTAGCATTCTGTGAACAGAAAGATAATAATGTTTACTAAAGACTCGGAAAAAACTAATGTCAAATTCATTTGCAATATTTTTTAAGATTAGTAGATACAGGGTGGTTCAATTTGAATTGGACCAAACATTAGTCCGGGGGAGGGTGGGGGGGGGGGAGGGGGAGGGGCTTTTTACATTTTTAGAAAAAAATAAAATATATGCGATAGCTAAAGTCCTGCAACGAACAAAGCTCTGCCTAAAAACATTAAAAAAGACAAGTTCTAACAGTTTTGCAGAAAAGAAAAATCAGGTGTCAAGGGTGGAATACGTAAAAAAAAACTTGATTTTTGTCGCAGCTTTGGCCGTTATTTACAAACTGGTGACCTTACTCAATTTGATACTTTTTCAGGTAGCAGCGACTATTTCTGACCAACTTCAAAAGGAAACAGTTATTTTTCTCTTTTTTTTTTTTAGCTTTTATGGTTATTTTTTAACAAAATCGCAAACTTACTAGTGCTACCATAGGGTGGCCACCCGTCCTGCGACTCGCGGGACTGTCCCGCATTGAGGGCTCGTGTCCCGCGTCCCGCAAGAAATATCAAAATTTTCAAAATGTCCCGCATTTCACATTGTCGTAACATTCACTACGCAAATTATGCCGCTTCCGAACAACGGGGCACGGGGAAGCACAGAGGTCGCTAGTAAGCGTGTGAATCTTGATGGTTATGACATTTTCTATCCAAGCAGTCCGGTAAGCGACCGTCGTTCTTGCAGGAGTCCGACACGCATGCGCCATTGTGCTTCTCGCGTTGAAGGCAAAATATTGCAAGCGAAAATTGCTCGCAAAAAGTTGAAAAATAAACTACTGGAAATTTTGCGATTAAAATAAGAACAGCGACTTCACATAACAAGAGAAACAACTTCATTAAACGTTTCGCCTCCCATGCGGGAGGCATCATCAGTACATACACAGGAATGAGAGAGCTTCGGTCAACGCAGTCCTATTTATCGGGAAGGTCCATATAAGCTTCCGGGAGGGGGCCACGGTTTTTGTTGCACGCCGTCTTATCTCCGCGAATGAACCATGACTCAAGTAGTTTGCGTGGGCCCCACCTATCCTCCTTCGCCTAGGTCGTCGCGGCTGTGAAGTCAAAGGTGTGTGAAATTTTGCAAATCATACTGTGTCATGCAAAAAAATTGTTGTAAAAAGGATTTTTTGTTTTGTAAAAACGGCTGCACAAGGCAAAAAGTCTGCAACTCCCAACGGTCGAAAAAATAAATAACACAAGACTAATTTTATGTAGGAGCATGTTAGTATAAGAGTAGGTATCGACAGGAAACAATAAGCCGAAAATTTTTTACTGTTTCTTTGTTCCTTTTGATGCATTATAGGGACTGCTGCAGTCGATTTTTATGTTTTAACTTAAACACCTTTAATAACCACAATTTTTAGGTAATATTCTTTCGGACAGCACAGGATTTCAAAGTGTGCGTGTTGATGAATTTCCTTTAATACTTTCTTCCTCAGTCGTGAAAATGATGTCCTCCATTTCTTACCCCCCCCTCCCCTCCCCCCCCTCCCCCCCTCCCCTCCCCTCCCCTCCCTCCTCCCCCCCCCCCCCCCCCCCCCCACACCCCGGGTCAGCGTGTCCCGCGTTTTGACAGCAGGAAGGTGGTCACCCTATGCTACCCTGTGCAATTTTGCCTCATACACAGATTGTAGAAAATCAACCATTAGGAACTGCGACATAAAACAACTATCAGCGCGTAGCTACTATGTACTGCGTGTCACCGATAAAAAAATGTAGATTTTTTTTTTTTACAGCAAAAGTAAACTACGCATCCAAAACGCTCAACCTCGGGCCAAGGAGGAAGAAGAAGCGTTGATCAGACAGCACGGCAGAACAGCGAGCTCCAATAATTTTAACCAAACTCTATATATAATCACCGCGAGCAGAGGCCATAGGAAAAGAAATTAGCACAAGGACACCAGGCGCGACAAGTGAGTAAAGGCACCACCAAGCCCGGTGTGAAAGGACACCGGACCTTTACTCATCTCCCATGGCCGAACGGAGACAAACCTAACACCCGGCGTAAGAACAAGGAATCGACTACCGCCCTGAGGCATGTTGGCTACTCCCGCCCCGACACCTCCAACAAGCATGGACACAGAAGAAATCGCCACAGGACAAGGCTGGAAAGTCGTAGGTGCGTCAAACCAACGACTCGAAGAACATATAACTGTGATAATCAAACTCACAGACGGCACAGACCTCAGTAAATTACCACCTGATGCTATAGGACGAAGCCTTGTACAAGCGGCGGCACTCACCACGGCAGAAAAAAGGGACACCTACGTAAAAGTGAGAGCCATTCCGACCCTCATTGCGATAGACACGTACCGCACGACCGCAGCAGAGAAATTCCTCCACCTAAGCCAAATTCTAGTCCTCAACAAACAACACCCCATTCTCGCCTATAAAACCAGTGGAAATAACGCAGTCAAAAATGTTATACACGGCATCCAAATGCCCGTCCCAGACGAAGAAATTCAACACCAACTTGAGATCCAAGGAACCAAGGTCATAGAAGCTCGGAGAATAGGCTCATCCTACTCCGTACTTATCGTCATGGAGGGAACCCGCCTAGCTAGATTCGCTCTCTACAGCAGAGCAGTCATGAGGCTCCATCCCTACACCCCAAGGAGCCTCTTCTGCAACAACTGCGCCACCATAGGTCACCGAGCAGATGTCTGCCCAAACAAACTACACTACCAGAGATGCTTACAGTGCGGAACTAAACTTCCACCTGACCCCAACGGGATATCAGAGCACAACTGTGAAATCCAATGCCAAAACTGCCGCGGAGAACGCAGACTACCCACAATGTGCAGTACGCCAAGAGGCAGACAGAAACCGCAGAGAAGGAATGCGCATCCGAAGCTGGCGCCAAGCAAATACACCTCCAAGAGTAGACGTAACAAACCCAAGTAGACAGGACACTCGGAGCGAACCACAGCACAGCCACGACAGGAGCACCTCAAGCACCCAATGGCCCAAGCTTCCGACACGCAACAGCTTCGCAATGCTAGGAGACACCGAAAGATCAAGAAGCAGGAGCAAAAACCCACAATAACAAAACAACGACCTCCGAGACAAACAAGTGAAAGACCAGAACGAAAGGCCACGGCAACCCCTCAGGGAAACCCCACCAGCCCTACAGAAGACGACGGCATCACCCCCCTTGGAAAGACGGAGCTGGAGGGTGAGTGAATCATCTCCTTCCCCAGCAGCAAACGAATCCAACATCCAGCTTTCGTCAACCCCCGCAGGGGACCCTAAGAAACAATATGCGGTCGTGCTATCCGCAGCTAAAGAAACGCCGTCACAAATTAACATCGTTAGAGCTGTGAAGGCAGACATCAACCTGGACAAACCGGTGACTGAAACAAACACAACACAAAATGAAACCACATTGGAAATACTTAGAAAGCTAGACTCCCTTCAAAGGGAACTACAACAGAGAAACGAACTCTTTAAAAAGGAATTCCATAAAAGGGACACAATCATACAGAATATGCAACAAGAACTCCAGAAAAGAGATCCCCTTTTTGCTGAACAATTTGTCAACCTCGAAATCGGACAAAGGCAGCTTGAAAGCTCACTCATTAAATTAGATTTCGTACTTAATTCTTTGAGAAAAAGACCCCAAACACCGAGCCTTGACGTCGAAAGTAGCCCATACAAAGTAGTTATCACAGAGGATACCAACCAGGGCACTGAGACAACTAAGAACCATGAATAAGATCAAACAACCGAACCAAAACTCCCCGAATGGTGAAATATTAATTTGGCAATGGAATAGCCGCGGCTTGCGTAAACAGGTCAGTTTAATAAAATAATTCATACAGCAATCAAAAGAACAGCCAGACATTATACTGGTACAAGAAAGTAATGGAGTCTTCAACATGCCGGGCTACGACCTTCACTCCCAACCCAGTATCACAAGGAACCTCCCAAAAAAGAACCGTGATAACCCCGCTTCCCCCCCCCCCCCCCCCCCCCCCAAGGAACGACAATAACATACGCTCATAAACCCATTACGGCTATACAGATAGACACTAATCACCTTAATTCTGAAGAACAAGAGCACGTAGCAATTCAAATTCAAACCATAGAAATAGATATAATTATCCTAAACGCATATTGGACACCGAAAAGAGTTCAAACATTCTAAAGAACTAAATCGATTTACACAAAAAAACAATAAATATCCAATACTAATTGCAGGTGACTTCAACAGCGCACATCTAGGATGGAAATACAGGTATTCTTCACCTAACGGTAGAAAACTCGAAACCCTCATGACTAACAGACAACTAACTCTCATGAATGACACCACGATACCCACCAAAACAGGCAATAGCGTGCAAAGGGACATCAACCCGGACCTAACCTGGTACAAAGGCAAGCCAACGTGCCGTTGGAAAAACCAACTAGAAAACTTAGGTAGTGATCATGCACTATCAACATTACTATAAAAACACGCAGGAAAAGTTAGAAAACACCAAGGGGAACAAAAAGCAAAATCACCAAGTGGGACGAAATAAGAAAAGAACTTAAAGCAACCGTAGAAAATAATCCTGACCTTACGTGGGCGCAGGGGCTAGATAAAATACAGAGCAGCTACAAAAATAACACTAAATGGATAGCAAGCAGTGAACAAGCGCCGTACGTAGACTCACATCTTCTTAGCTTATGGGACAAGCGCAACAGGATTGTTAAAATTTGTAAAAAGAAGAAATCCAGAAAAGGTCTCAAGAAAGCCAGAATCACAGAGGAAGCATACAATTACGCAAATGAGTTAGCACAAGAAAATTGGCTCCAAACTTGCGATTAACTAAACGGCCTACTACACACCCCGAGAGTATGGCAAATCCTTCGAACTTTATTAGGGCAACGTAAAACAAAACACACTACAAATAAACTATGCCTACAGTATCAAACAGGACCTAAAGAAATAGCAGAAAAATTACTGTACAAATTCTACCCTAACAAGGACAGAATAAATTTCTCTGGCACAGAAACAGAATATAATATTGAGGACGCGGAAGGAATCAACAGCCCATTCTGTAAAGGGGAGTTAAGAAGCGCACTTAGTGAATTCAAACGAAATACTGCCCCGGGAGAGGACGGCATAACATACGGAATGCTACGAAATCTCCCAGACGAATATATAACACTTCCACTTAAAGAAATTAACAGATTATGGGACGAAGGTAACTTACCAACCCAGTGGAAGGAGGCAATCATTATACCAATCCCCAAACAATGGAAACAATCAAACTCCATCAACAACTATCGACCAATTTCCTTAACATGCTGTGTGGAAAAGGTATTGGAAAAAATGGTTTTAACGAGGCTAGGATGGCTCATGGAAAGTCAAGAATCCCTACCGGAGACAATGATAGGATTCAGAAAACATGTAAGCACGCAAGACATGATAATCAGGATCAAACAACAAATACTCGATCACCCGAGCACGGTAACACTTAGAATAGTCGCGGGAGGCGACATGAGCAAAGCGTTCGACCAAATACCACACGCGGCTATATTAAATAACCTAAAAGAAATAAACCCCGGACACAATATGTACAACTACGGGAAACATTTCCTCTCTGACCGAACAGTTAAAATAAGACTGGACGACTACACCTCAGACAGCCACCCGCTAGACAGAGGGACACCCCAGGGATCCATTCTATCACAATCCCTTTTCAACATAGCAATAAAAAACCTACCGAAACAGCTTAACGTCATAGATGACCTCGAACATAGCATATACGCAGACGACATCACCCTCTGGACGACTAAAGGATCTGCAGAACAAGAAGAAGCCATGCAAAGGGGTATAGACACAGTGCAAAGGTGCGCGGCCTCCATCGGACTTACATGCTCTGCAGAGAAATCTGAATATGTAGTAATAATTCGATCCCCCGCAAATAGAACCTTAGAATATAGAGAAATGATACGCTTAAAAAAAAAAAAAAAAAAAAAACACGAACCATTGCCAAGAAAAAAAAAACACATAAAAGTGCTAGGATACTATCTACAAGACGGTAAACATAACATCACCTTAAATAAACTCATAGCACAAATAGAACAAATTCTTGGCATGATCGATCCGCAGGATCACAAGACAGAAGAGAGGTATGAAAGAGCATGAATTAAGGAAAGTCATAGAAGCACTAATATACTCTAGAGTCATGTACCACTTACCATATATCAGCCTCACCAAGACGCAACAGAGAAAACTCGAAACAACTCTGCGCAAAGCCTCTAAGCTAGCATTGGGCGTACCCCGCTTTACAGCCAGCTACAGAATAAAAGATGCGGGGCTCTTCAATTCATTAGACGACAGAGTAGATATCCACAAACTAGGGCAAAAACAAAGACTAGAAACATCGCTTCAAGGCAGAAGAATACTAACAAAACTAAACTCTGAAACAACAAACCTTCCTCCTATCCCACTGGAAACTCCCCTATGGGAACAAATACCTAGAATCCATGTAAACCCAATCCCCAAGAACATGCATACAAAACGCAATGCAGACAGAAGAAACGGCAGAGTACAGCGCCTAGAGAAGAAGGACGAAGAAGATGCTAGCACAGACGAAGAAGATACTATCACCAAAACATACTATACAGATGCAAGCTACAACGCAGGACATGGCCTCATAGCTGTATGGGACATCGAGGAAACGTTAACGCGAAGTTATCAAGACATCCCATCCCCAAGGCACGCCGAACTACTAGCCATATCTACTGTCATCACCTAATTCACCAAAAACAACGATAAAATTATTATAAGAACAGACAGCCATGACGCATGCAGGGCTTTTCTCAAGAAGAGACTTCCCACAACAATACAGAACCGGCTGCAACATCACATGCACAAGTACCCACTACTCCAAATTAGAATTCAATGGGTCCCAGGACACCAGGCATCAAGAGGGAACATACAAGCACATCAACTTACCCGCGAACCAAATCCGGGTAGCCCTCTCGCCTGGCCCTGTGATCAGGAATACGACCCCAAACAAGGAAGAAAAATACGTCACAAAGCCAGGCAACAAATTCTAAAGGAAAGACGCAAGGCCTCCACTCTCCTCCCATCGCCCTCACGAACTCACACAAGAGAAGAAGCAACCCTCATTCGTAGAGCACAGACAAATTCCATCCTCACCCAAAACTACATCCACTACATACACAAAATGCCAGGCTACCCCTCCTGCCCTCACTGCGGAGGATAACCATCCAACCAACATACACTCTGGGAATGCATTGCATCCCACCCAAGCCGACAGCCATATCTCTCTCTCACCTACCCCCTAAACGTACATTAAGCAGCTGGGAGGAATGGACTTCTCCCCCTTCAGAACTTTAGAGGCTGTGGTGGCCCCCCCTCCCCACCACATTCGCAATGTGCTGGATGGGACGGAGACTGCCCCGACCGCATAGGCCCAGAATAGGGCTGGGATATGGAAAACTCCATTTCCACAATAAAGTTTACTCTCTCTCTCTCTCGAGCCAAAATCTAGCGTCCGGACGAGATTCCAAAGTTTCAGAACAAATCCGTTACCTTGTTCAAGAATGATAAATAATAATAATAATAATAATAATAATAATAATAATAATAATAATAATAATAAATTTATTGCAGGTGCTTGAATGTCCCCAGAGTATCATTTCGGGACCGTCAAAGTCCTAAAGACTTGTAGGACTGATCCCAACAAAATATCTACAAAAGCATGCATAACAATGAAAAAAAAAAAAACCACACACACACAGAAAAAAAAAAAAACACAGAACAAAGAAGTTACACAGATTCAGAGACGCGACAAGGTAAATATCGTTAAAGACGAATTGCACAGTACAAACTCATTACGAAAAGTCTTGAAGGTTGACGCTATTTTCCTGTGGACGAGCACATA